GGTGCCTTGGCGCATTTTTCGTGTCTTGACGCATTTCTCGTGCGAATTGAAATTCACAGTTTTAGCTCATTTAAAGCCATTTGACGCTATTCTAGACCAATTTTAGTTCGTTTTTTTTTGCCTTGACGCCTTTCTCGTGCCTTGACGCATTTTTGGTGCCTTGTGAAAAAATTGATTTTTTCAATTTTCGAAATTTTCAGAGCCACCCAGACTACTATCCGGAGCAACAAGAATATGAAGACGTTATCGAGGAGACCGGCGATTTTCATGTGCCCGAAACTACAGTAACCCACCACCAGAATTCGGGGAAAAAAGAGGAGAATTCGATGAAGAAAGATAGGGTTAAAGCTGAGCAATCGGGACCATCGGGAATCAGGGGAAATGTCAATAAGGCGGGAAAGGTGGGGAATTTGAATTTTTGGAATTTTTGAATTTTTTGAATTTTCGAATTTTTGAATTTTTAAAAATTTTGAATTTTTGAATTTTTTGAATTTTCGAATTTTTGAAAATTTTTAATTTTTGAATTTTTCTTCAAAATCCTAAAATTCTGGAATTTCCAGAGAAAACGCGACGACGACGAAGGCGTTGACGATGATTTCGAAGAAGTGGGTGGAGCTTCGCAAGCTCCGCCCTCTCCTTCTCGACAATCGATGAGAGGTCGGAAAGCGACATGGAAGTTGGCGGAGAATGAGGAGGATTTTTGAGAAAATCGATAATTCAATAATTTTGCCTTTTTTTGCTAATAATTTTAATTCCTATATTTTTTGTCTTCTTCTTCTCCTTCTGAAAGATCCTAATAATCAGTTTGTGAATAAAACATATATTATGATTCTAGTCAATTTTTCGCGTGGAAAGTTGTTTTTTTCACGTTTCTAGCTTCAAAATAAGCCCAAACACGACCTATTTTGGTCAACTTTGAAATTTCCAACGCGTCGCGGTCGTGCGTTGCGTGTCTGTGTGAAATTTCAAAATGGGCGGATCCTAGTCGTGTTTAGGCTCATTTTGAAGCTCTTATCAAGTTGAGTTTTTCCGCCGTACTTCCGAAATTCCTCCCAGAAACGGCGACTCAAAAATGGGATGTTCAGTAGAGAATGGGGATTAAACCAACGTTCGCACTTGGCACAAATTACTGTACTAATTGTTGCTTTATTGGCCACACAAATTTAAAATTATCTACCCAATCAGTTACAAAATGCAACGTGACATATATTTGGAAAGATTATACAAAAAGTGAAAGGAAAGATTTTGGCAGATGTATGCAACGCGGAAAGCACATCTGTGATTTAAAAAAAGGAACATTCTGGAAAATATCTTCTCTATTCTGGTTGTCAGCGAGCCGCACTTTTTTATCACCTGAAAATTAGTCGAAAGAACATTATTTCTAGGTAAAAGATTAACTCACTTTGCTTGTACTCTTGCACTGCTGCAATAGCAGCAAAAAAGAAGAAGAGAACCACGACGAGCGTGATCATACAGTAAGTTTCGATCTCGTTCTTTTCCATATTGTGGGTTTCTGTGGCTGAAAGTATCCTAGAGTTAAAAAAATCAACCCTGGATAAACACTAACCATTGTGTTCTTGGGTTTCTGATTGTGTTGTGTTTCTTGGGACGACGGGATGAGCTTGGGACGACGAAGATTTGGGACGACGGGGTGATCCTTGGAACGACGACGAGAGCGAGACGATGACGAGAGCGCAAAGTAGCAGTACTTTCATTTTTCTAAAAATTCAATTAATTCCAGTGCGCACAAGCTCAACGAGAAAGGGAGAAGAAGTTTATCAACGACTCTCAAAATGAGAAACAGCATTCACAATAGCAGCGCAGATGTTATCATCAAGAGACAATGATCCAAACTCTTTAGATCTAAAATATCTTCCTATTTTGATTGATAACATGAATAATTTTATGGTACAAAATTTGGTTTTCTGATAAAGACGACATCCCTGATAAATTCTCGAAGTCATTAGATGAAGACTCACAAAAAATCATTTAACGGTGAAAAAATATAATCGTTACGTTCTCTGTGGCAACTAAAGATACTGCATTTCTTTTGACAAAACACTAATCTTTCACTTGTACTTCAAGCTCGATTTCCTTTGTTTTCATATGAGATAACTCAAAACGTTTGTATATAATTTCGAAATTTCTGAAACTTTGAATTTCTTTTTTTCGAAAGTCCTAAAGTTGCATTATCTGAAATTTTGAAGAACGTAAAACATGAAAGAAGCGCCCCTAACTTCTAAATTTTAGCCAGCTTTCGGCTCCAGTTAAAGATATCAAAATTTTGTTTGTTACAGATCTTTTGACATTTCGAAATTTTAAGATTTATTTTTCACGAAGAAATGTAGAGGGGTTTTCCCAAAGCACATATACTTCTAAAAACTGAAAATCTAAAGACCCTCAATCACCCTCAATCATCGCCCTCACAAGTTCAACTCCTCGAGGGGCATCTTTGAACGGAATTTCGAGAACATTATTTTTTTCATGTCTCCCCCCACCTTTAATGAATTTACTAATGACATTCATTCTTTACTAATGACATTCACCAAATTCTGTGTGTGCGTATAGCGTGCCTTTCCCCCCATTCAAAGTTAACCGATTGAGCTGAAACTTGGACAGATAGGTCACAAGTGTGTCTTAGTTGATGCCCAAAACTTTCTTTTTTGGAAATTTTGATTCTGAAGTCTTCTGGAGACGTTTCTTGGTTTCACCACAGTAAAGCGTGGTGGGTAGCAGAGATGAGCGGAAATTTAAGGAAGACGGTTTATCTTCGAAATGAAAAATGCTACCAAAAAGCTGTCAACAGACAAAATGTAGATCTCAATGAGAGCTATCGATTGGTATAAAAATTTTTTCGAAATTTCGTTGGATTATTTAAATAGAGTCTTTCTTCCGTCTTCCGTGTGCCAGACGGAAGACGGAACAAACGCCATATCTCAACTCCCCATCACTATTATGAGATAACTTTTATACCAATCGATAGCTCTCATTG